CTTAAAATAGAATATTTTGTTTTTGTGTGTGTGTCAGAAGCCATTGAGATTTTTTTCCCTAACTGCCTAAGAAATTCTGTAGACCATAATGAATCTTGTCTGTTAAACTAAAGCTGTTAGTCTTTAACTTCTCTCAACCATGTTATCCACCATATTTTGCCTATTTCTAAGCATTTAGTTAGAGCATTCAGATACAGTAGCATGAAAAAAGATAGACAAAAATAGAATGTTGTGTTATAGTCTGTGCCTGTGTCTAAATCCATGATACAATTTCATGGTTCCTGGAACAACTTGAGCTCCCAATTAATGTTCAATGAATGAATGTGACTCCAGAAATTTATTTGGATCTGAACAATCAGCATTCAACTCCTTGGTAACACCAAAATTCCCCAGACTCTGATATCACCCTGCCCTTGAATTATCACCCAATTTAATTTTATCGAAACATAACATTTTGTTGGATCTTAACATTGTTCACTCTATGTATTTCACATATTTAAATAGGTAAATTTGTGAAATTAGAGAAGTCACAAAATTAGCAGTAGTAACAAACTATTGTATACATTGAAGAACACGGATTTCAACACGGTCTTGCTTTCCAGGAATATTTGATCTATGAAAAGCTCGAGGGTTTACCACTACCAGAAAGAAGGATTCTAGAGAAAAGGATGGCTTTTGTCAACCAGAAAGTCAGGAAGAACAACTTATTCTGACTCTTGGGGGACATAGCAAGTAGAAAAATGAGATGAAATGTGTACATTTATTTCAATTATCCTGAAATAATTTTTAAAAATCATGTCATTCTAATAATAAAATTATTTTAAACTTAATAATAGTAGTATCATTCAAATAATTTTTTCTAATACTTTTATGTTGATTATCTTTTATTTTGATATATCTGCTAAGGAAATTAGTGTATGCATTAGCTATACTATAAACTGAAAGAGAGTACATCCTAAAACCCGACTTGAAATTTCAATGTTGAGAAGTGTCATTAGGACTTGCCCACCACATGCAAGCTCAGATGAATAATACCATGTTTCCCCCAAAATAAGACAGGGTTTTATATTTATTCTTCCTCAAGAAGACACCCTAGGATGTTATTTTCAGGGGATGCATTATATTTTTTTAAGTACAGTACAACAATCTACATTTTTTCAAATACAGTTAAGTCGTCTTCTTATGGAACATCATCATCACTCTCCAAACCCTGAATTCCATCCTGAATTTCTTGCGACTCTATTTCGTTTAGAACCACTGGCCCCAATCTCTCATGTCGAGCAACAGAGCTCTCATGGGGCAGATGAGAAGGGCTGCTCATCTTCTTTACAGCTCTATGACGAAATGCATGGGTTGTGCAGATGCTCTGTGTAGCCACGCCCATCACTAGGTCTTATTTTCAGGGTAGGCTGATACTGTACAAATGCTTAGAAATCCTGCTAGGTCTTATTTTATGGGTAGGTCTTATTTTCAGGGAAACATGGTAGTATAATTTTTTTGTTCTCCTAGAGTCTCTCTGAAAACTCAGTATAACACAAAGGAATCTTTACAGAAGTGACTAACACAGGGAGAAAAAAATATTTTTTTCTTTTTCTTAAAAATTAAAATTATAAATAAGAATAACATCTAAAAGTTAATGACCAGACATCATATTTGTTGTAATAACCTTCATTTTGACACATTGTTTTCTACAGTTGATTCTTGAATGTGCCTCCTTATCCTGATTTAAAAACCAGAAGTTCCTTGATTTTGGTGAGTGGCTTCAAGTCAAAATGATTAGGGCATTACTTGCACAATTTTTCTATCAAATAATTAGCTTTGGTTCTAACGTTCTGCATGAACACTTTTCGGACGTCACTTCTCATTCTCAGTCTTCTTAATGAATCACGGTGTTTGGATTGAATGTAATCAATTATAGGGGATGGCTTGTGGCCAGCAAAAAAAAATCACCTTTACTTATTTTAAGATACCGTCATTAGTATATCCTTCTGGATGATATTTATCCACCACCTGCTGCTGAGTCCTTAATCACAGCATTTTTCTTTCCCTGCTGAAATGAGAGGGGAAAAAAAAAAGTCAATTTGAGGTTTATAAAGAATGTTCTTCTGTCAGGAGACATTTGCCACTTTCTTCTCCTATGCACATTTTGTTATCTCTGCACAAAAAAAGCAGAATTGTTTTCATTTCATTCTCAGTTATTATTTGTAAAGTTCCACTGTAAAGTCGGATGCTCAAAACATAAGAAAGTGGGTATTTTGCCTAGGAGTTTCAGCCCAAGTGTGAGAAAAGTGTTTTTCACATCACTGGTAGCTTTCGTGAGGGAACAGGTAAAAATAATTTTGTGTTCTTCTCCCCTGGAGAGCTGAGGGCAGTCTGTTCATCCCCTTTCACGACCCTGCACACACCGGTGGGCTGGTCCACACGGGATCGTGTCCATGTTTGTTCTTCTTGGCCAAGGGGCCTCAGGGACCAATGCAGGCCAGCTCGTGGCACCCAAAGCTAAACTAAACAGCAACAAAATTAGGCATCTGATTACACACCACTCATATAAACTCCCACACACCCACATACACTTGTACACACAAGGGCACAGGAGCCTTTATTTTTCCCCTTGATAAAATAACCTGATGATTTTTAGCAGTACACAGCAGATTTCCACAAAAATTTGTGACTTTGATATTGGAAATTTGTAGCTCTTGGCACTTCTGCAAATGTCTGCAATTTCTTGGCGCAGGTGGCTTTGACCTGGGCTACGTCTAGTCCTTTTTCCTGTTGTCTTAATCACCCTTCCCCGGTCCCTCTTCTCCAGTCCTTTTCTCTCTTTCATGGTGGTAGCCTTGCATCTGCCGGGGTATCTTCTTTTTGGTGTTTCCATTAGTCCTTTACACAGAAACTCCTGCCTACTGAAGTGCTATTTATCTTGCCCTGTGGCATTATTCTGACTTCGGTGGTTAGCTTTATATTAATTATTGTTAAAAAATTAAAAATGACTTTATATGAATAATGTTGCATATTTCTATAGCTGTTTTAGGTGGTTTCAAGTCCTTTTAACCTGTATTGTACCCCTAAACTCTCAACGCTACCCTCTGAGGTAACTTCCTAGACCTCGTTAGAGTAGAAGATTTGTAAATGAAATAAACAATGACACTCTTATTTTTAAAATCCCTATTACCTAAAAAATGTTCTTATGTTAAACCAAAATGGGTGAAAACAGGAGAGGGGCTTCCACGAACATGCTCTGCGGCAATCTTGCTGTGGACAAGTTTGACTTCTCCCAAATGCACTTCATGTTGAGTCGCAGGATAACACAGCCTTCACAGCATGATCTATCGCCCTTTTAGAGGAACTGTGACTTGACAGGTGTGCTAGTTTTTGTGAATTAATAAACTGATGAGGCACTAAAAAGAACAGATAGATTATAGTTCCAGAAGAGGTGACACTGGGATCTGGGGTAGCAGGAACTGTCATGAGGGTCTAGAGGAAATATTCTGAAATGAAAGATAGCCATGTTCAAAATGCAAAGGAAAAGCCTAGAAGAGAACAAAATATAATTATTAAAATTATGCATTGTTTACATATTGCTTGTGTATTAATGTTAAATGCATAGCTTCTTCCTTCTAATTTTCCCTCTCCTAATATTTTGGGCACACCCTCACTCTTGTTCTAATTAGTGTAAATAAGGTGTGGGTAAAAGGCGAAATGCAATTCAACATCGGTTCCTTGATATGAAATCTTGATACACATCTTTTGACTTTTTTTAGGAGTGGGCCAATTTTGAAACCATTATTGCAATGACTCTGTAGTTATAAACCAACTTTAACAGATTTTTGAGACTAATTGAATGTGAACCACAAGAAGTGAAAAATCACATAAACTGCAATATAACACATGAATTAATGTCAGGTTCTGAAAAAATAAGGAAAACAGAATGATCCTTTTAAAAAATTATCATTTGGCATAAATTATACTATAGAATGAGGATGCCACTCCTAGATTCAAATTTTAGAAATGTAGCTCTTTTCTATAACACTATACACTACTATGACTGAAGAAAATCACTTAATATCTCTTTAAATTTGAAGACTAACCTGAGAGATGTAATGTATTTCTCTTTCCACATCTCACAATGTGACTCAGAAGCTTGTCTTGGGGCTTGGGTTTCCTTGCAGTAAGAATGAAGGTCATTGTTACCCTTGATGCCCAAAAGCAGCCTGTACAGGATATACCATGTTTCCCCCAAAATAAGACAGGGTCTTATATTTACTTTTCCTCAAGAAGACACCCCAGGGCTTATTTTCAGGGGATGTGTTATTTTTTTTTTTAAGTACGGTACAACAATCTACATTTTTTCAAATATAGTTAAGTCATCTTCTTCTGGAACATCATCATAAATCTCCAAACCCTGAATTCCATCCTGAATTTCTTGCAACTCCATTTCCTTTAGGACCATTGGCCCCATCTCTCATGTTGAGCAATAGAGCTCTCATGGGGCAGATGAGAAGGGCTGCTCATCTTCTTTACTGCTCCACGACAAAATGCATGGGTTGTGCAGCTATGCCCATCTCTAGGTCTTATTTTCGGGGAAGGGCTTATATTGCGCAAATGCTTAAAAATCCTGTTAGGATTATTTTATGGGTATGTCTTATTTTCGGGTAAACACGGCACCTGCTTCTCATTCATGGCGCTGGTGGTGGGGAGATGCTTTGAATTCCCTGATCTCTGCATCAGAATCTCTATGTAGAGAGAGGTTAACAGGGCCAAGGTAGGGAACCCAAGGCTTCTCATTTATTCTTTCTTCTCTCCACAAGCTACTTGGTCAGATATGCTGACATGTCAAAGTACTTTTAGAATAATCATCTACTCTGTCATTCACCTTTTCAAAGGATGATAGTAAGCTCAGAGATTAATGGAAACTGCTGAGATTGATTTATACTGTTTGTCCTTTGGCATTATATCGTTAACATGTGAAAAAACACTGAGCATCCACCCTCTGTCAAGACATGAAGGTAAGAAAACCTTAAGATCTATCAAGAATCTTACAAATCAGAGAGAAGAAAATAGATACTAATCAAATAATCTCTTCCCAAATAAAATAGTCTCAAAATTATGTGAGTGCTATGAAAAAAATCATCAAGTGCTGTGAGAACGTGTAAATTGGTCAGGTGATGGGGGTTTGTGGGACGGAGGTAGAGTGGAAGACAGTTGGGGGGTGGGGGAGCAGAGAAGCAAAGGGCAGGTAGAAGGTGATGTTGGTCTGGGATCTACAGAAGGAACAGGGGTCACCTGTGGAGGGAGGCTGGGCTCCATAATTCCAGCAGGTGGAACAGCATGAGCAAAAACTTGGAGTGGAAAGGAACAAGGTACTTTTGAAAAACTGAAGGAGGGAAAAAGAGGTCTGTGTTTTGGGGGGAACAGGAAACTGGGAGCAGGTCACCTGTGATGAGGGTTGGGAGGATGTAACAGGCAGGACACACAGCCTTAATAGCCACATCTTAATAGCCAACAGATCAGGTTGCTGATCTGTTATTTAAACAATTCTGGGACACTGCTCACTTGATATATCTAGCAAAGATTTTTAGGGAGAAGCATTACTCAAATGTTTCTTTTACAAATTTAACTACCTGAGGAGTCGATATCAATGTTAAAATATATTTTTATGACTGTTATAAGTATCATAAGTGATTTTTCTATTACTTAGTGATTTGGATACAAGTTTCAAGAAGGGAAGGTATGTTTGGAGGCTAGAATACAATTCTCACTGTATCTACACACAAACACAACATTTGGTTCTTTAACAAATAGACTTCTATAAAAGTCTACCAAGTAGCTATTTTACTAAGGGATCTGATTGATGGTGGGTTTAGCTGGACGGGGTTTGTGTGTGTAAAGATAATATTGCTACTTAACATTTGCAGGTTTATAAATGGCATTATCTTTGTTTGTGACCTGGCTGCTAAATAATTAAGACCAAATATTAGTATTTGAACAACTTCTCAATCCAATTTTACTCACGCAGTTTTGCTCTAAAAGCAACTAATAATTCTAAGCTTTCATTGAAACTAGAGATTTATTGCTCTCAGCCAATGAGATGACTACCAGAGAATTGACACTGGGAATCTCCATGGGGATGCATCCCAGTTTGTGGGGGCTTCAGTCTTCAAGTGCTCTAGGTCGACACCCCTGCTGCACACATCTGCAATCTGTTGTGCAGCTGCTGAAAAGGGCGTTCAAAAGATGGTGATGTGATGCTTGGCTGGCACATGGATCTGCAGTTCTTGATCCTGATAATTTCAGCATTATCTTTGAGTCAGTTTTATGCTTAGATCCCAACTGTCACTCAAAATGACATCTGTTCTTGTTTCTCCCCGTTGGTCAGGACAAAAATGGGGTTTGTCTTATTTTTAGTTTGCCATTGGAGTTATTGCAATTCCTCCTCTCCGTTCAACCTGCAGCACTGCTCATCACTCCGTGGAGTCTGGGTCTACCCACTGGCGGCCCCGAGCCACTACTGTGCCCCTGTCAGGACATCGAGACCTCCTGGACCCTCTCTGGCAGCTGGCAAGGATGCCTCCTGACTTTAGCTGCTGCTGTACAATGCTGCTACAACATGAAGGACTGTCAGCTATTTTCTCATCCAAATCTCAATGAAGAAAAACAGGAAGTCTTCAGTGGCCTTCGATTGACAAATTTGGCTGGTGGTTTTATCATTCCCTCTCAGCTCCCTTTGGCCTAAGACCCCGTGATGCCAAGTCCTGCTTCAAAGGGTCAAACTCTTTGGCTTCCTTGATAACTATTCACTCTTTTTCCTGCCCTGCAGAGAGAGTGTTTGATCGCTGTTGGTTTGCAAGAGACACTGGGGAGGGGCAGGCATAGTCCAAGGACTCTAGCTCCCAAAGCTATGCCTTAGAACAGGTCCTGCATTTTTAAAAGCTCCGAACCATGCACTAACTTCTTTTGTTTACCTTTTTCAATTTCTGCCATGGCCTTCCTTCCCTGAGTCAGGGGATTCCAAAGACTAGGTGGGAAGGGAAAAGTGTGAAGAGGAAAGTAAATGGGTGGTAGGAAGAAGAGAGCATCCATGCATAAATTATTTTCATTAACTTTGAGATGCACTAGCAAGCAAGGATGGAAGGTGAAGTCACTCATTGCCTAGAGTTTGGCACAAGGGGGATAACTAGAATTGCTTGTTGTCATTGCAAAGCTCATGGGCATTACAAACATGACAGACATGCAAGGAGTTAAGATAACACAAGTTATACTGTTTCCAAGCAGTTAGTGCATCTCTCTCTTTTATCTTATTCTGAAACATTTTCTCAACTTCATTTTGAAAAAATAACCAGGACAATTTTCCTGTGCAAAAGCCGAAAGATACATCAGACACACACACACACACACACACACACACACACACACACAGGCACATACTGTATAACCTCCTGCTGGGCTATTTCAAATAATCAAAACATATATTCATTAACGCAGAGATCTTAGGTGTCTAAATTCTATGGACGTAGATGAAATAGTTACATGTCTAATTTTAAGATGCATTTATTTTGTTATGCATATTAAATTAATGTATTATATAAATGGCAAATAATTTAGGTATATAGCGTATGTCCACTCTTATATAAAATAATTTTATTCATCTATTTACAGGTATCTATGACATCAGGATGAGTAATCCAACAGATGTTTTTCAGAGTACATTTTCTTCCATTCCATATAAGCTGCTTGATTTATAATACTTTTTAAATATGTGACTGATATTGTCACTGGATATTTTAACTTCCAGACACAATACTCACTTGGACAGAAGGAGTTTACACAATATAACCACTTACTGTTTCTTTTAAAAAAATAATCATTACAATTTTGCAAGAGCTGAGCTATATCATATAAGGAATAAAAATAAATAAATCTAGACTAAGTTTCTTCGTTTCCTTCTTAACCCATTCTGTCAGGAGTTCTTCGTGAGCATCTAAAACGACCATATATTGATGCCATTTCAAAATGTATATTTTCCAAAATAAATTATATATAGCATATATATATATATATCCAAATTTGAAAAAAAAAGACATTTTAAAACTTTTTGAGGACTTTAGGATCTGAGGGATAATTTGAAAACTGATAGTCAACATTGTGTGAGTTTCCCAGGGCAGCCATAACAAAGTACAACAAACTAAGAGACAAAAACAATAGAAATTTATTTTCTCACAGTCTTGGAGACTAGAAGTACAAGATCAAGGTGTCAGCTAAGTGGATTTCTCCTGAGGCCTCTCTCCTTGGCTGGTGGATGCTTCTTCTCCTTGTGTCCTCACCTGGTCATCCCTCTGGGTGTCTCTGTCCTAATCTCCACTTCTTATAAGGACACCAGTCACATTGGATTAGGGCCCACCCTGATGACCTCATCTTACCTTAATAAACCCTATCATACCCTATCTCTAAATTTTGTCACATTCTGAGGTATTGGGATTAGAAGTTCAACATAAAAAATTAGGTGGGCCACTATTCAGCCTATAACTTCCAGTAATTACTATAAAGTGTCAAATACTAATATTATAAGAAAGGAATTGGTTCAACCTCTAGAAGAATACAAGCTAATAGATAATAGAGTATCAATTTAAAGTTGCAAAAGAATGATAACATTATATAAGACATTACTCTTTTTTTTTTTTTAAATGTGATCTTGATATAGTTAAATTTAGAACGTCCGGAGTTTTAAATTCTGGGGCTTCTAATCAGGAGAATTTCAACATCCTACCTTTCCAGAAAAAAAAAAAAAACACACAGAGAAAAAGAGAGTATAGTTTACCAACATTTTAAGGAAATGGTTTCAATTGTTTTAAACAAATGCTAACCATATTGCCAGAAATGTTTTAATCACTACTTTGATTACTAAAGTTATGTAAATATTTTTAGTGAGCCATATTGAAATAAACGCCTTCATTACAAGTCATTGTAGAATATATTATGTAGTTCACATGAGAAGCATGAGCAGAGATGTCATAGTAAATGTCATAGTAAAACAAAAAATTGTATTAGAAGTTCATACATGAATAAGGTTGATATGTATATGATTATAAGATAACGTACAATGCTTTTATATCTAGGAAAAATTGCTTTATATATACATGAATTAACAGAATCTTTCTGGAACTCATAAAAAAGAGGTTCATAGTCAATGGAAAATGAATATTAAGAAAGTTTTATTTGAATAATAATGGAAAGTCATCCAAATATAAAATTACAGTTTCATATTATTTTTCTGTAAATTCTCAATGTTGTGTCAAATTTCCTCAAAAGTATATAATTTAGGCAGTAGAAATAAATACCATTATCCTAAAAAGGATGATTATAATTCTTATTTATTTTTCTCACAATATTTTATAATGAAAATTTTCTAACATAAATACACCTGAAAAGAATTTTATAGCAAATAGCCACCATGTACCAACCATCTAGATTTTACAATTACTATTTCTCTAAAATTTGCTTTATCACACTTATTCATCTATCCATCCCTCTATTTATTAAGCCACTTTATTTTTCCATGTTTTTGAGGTAAGTTGCAGAGTCATTATGCCCCCAAATGCTTCAGCAAGCATGCAATCTAGTGTACAATGTGAGTTCATGTTTTTCCCCTTCTGAGGTAAAATTTGCATTCAAAAGAATCCAAAAAATATATAAATTTATTCTTAATGAGCTTTGGTAATATGTATACCAGTGTAACTCACATCCCTATAAAGACAATATTTCTATCACCCCAGAAATCTCCTCCTCCTTCTTTTTAGACAATCTGCACCCGCCCTCCCCAATGTAATCACTCTTCTGAACTTTTTCTACCATAAATTACTTGCACTTACTCTAGAACTTTATAAAAACAAGAGCATATGGTATGCATACCATATTTTTATAAGGCTTTTATTACTCACCAGAATGTTTTCAGATTCATCCATGTTATAGTTTATTTCCTTCTACTGCCAGAAAAGGCAGTCTTTCTCCAGAGATAAAGCTTTTTTTAAGATGTCAGAACATAATATACAGAAAATAATATTTTTTATTTCAGCATATTATGGGGTTACAAATTTTAAGGTTTCAAATAATGCCCTTCTCCCCTCCCCCCACAAGTCTGACCTTCCAGTGTGACCATCCCCCAGACGGTGCACATCTCACTCATTATTATGTATGTATATACCCACCCCCTCCCCACTCCTACCTGCCCAATACCCAATTACTGTAGTTCCTATGTGTCCACTTAGGTGCTGCTCAGTTAATACCAGTTTACTGGTGAGTATATGTGGTGCTTGTTTTTCAATTTAATATATACACACACTACGCATGCATGTGGACACAGTTGTTTATAATATAAAACAACTGCAAGCAAATCAAATGCCCAGTACTAAAGGATTGCTTGGAAAATATTGTCTTCTCTAAAATAATACAGTATATGACAAAGTTAGCTATCATTTAAAGCCCAATCAATTTCTATCAGTGTGTTTTAAGACGAGTAACATTGACAATGTTCATCTGAAAGAATGTGCAAGAATAGCCAATGAAATCTTGAAAGGAGAGCAATAAGAATAAACACTTGCCAAACGATGTGGCGAAATATATTCGAATGTTTCTCTAATTATACAGGTGGATACTAGTACAGAAATGGGACAACTCATGAGTCCCATGGAGAATCCAGGAACAAGAGCCACAACATGGAATCTCCTGTCTGTCTGGTAATATGCTGCATTCTGTGGTTAAAGAATGAGCAGGTGTCTTGAGTCTTGTTGGAATGAAAGAAAATTCAGATATTATTATTCAGATATTAATCAAATAATCTCTACAGCACATATAAATTTGTAATCTTACCAAGTATAATGTAGCATATGTACACAGTAATGAATTTTAATAGAGGATTTGACTAATCAGAGGGGCATGAGAAGTCTTGATTTAATAAGTAGTAATTATCCCAAGACTGCAAAAGTGAACAAAGGTAAGAAAGGGCATTCAAAGGAGAGGAAACAGCATGAACGTGAGGTCTGGGCAGAGAGGTGTGTCAAGCATGAGTGCCTGGAGGAAGACCAAGGTACAGTGTGTACGAACAGTGAGCAGGAACACGGGTTGAGACGGGTCAGGGAGACCATTCAAGGTGCACCATGTAGATCATTTCACAGACATTGTTTTTATTGAAAGAGACATGGTTATTCTTTGAAAGTTTTTAGCAAAGCTGAGTGCAACTATATGAGATTTGTACATAGAAAAGATCCCCATGGCTGCAGGATTTATTTGAGAGTTTTGAGGTGGACTTTTTGTTTGTTTGTTTGTTTGTTTGTTCGTTTTGCAGTAGGATGTGTAAAATGTACATTCAGCATTGATAAATGTTGGGAGAAAGAATGGAGGGGATTCGGTATAAGATCAAAGTGGCAAATAATCGGTGCATCTAGTCAGTGTGCAGGGAGGAAAATAGAAGCCACTCCAGGTATTTGAAACACATATAAAGTGATTGGATATAAAGTGATTTTTAAACCATTAAAAGCATCGATAGTGCAATGCAGAGAAGGACCGGTGCTGGAGGGTGCCGTGCTTCTACATGCGGCTGATGCCCCACCACTCAGCATGAGCA